CCCCAAAACCCCAAAACCCCAAAACCCCGTGAATGCTATCTAGAATTGATAAAAATAAGAACAGATATGGAAGGTGAGTTCAGGAAACAGACAAAGGTAGATGATATCTTATGCATCTGGGAGGAATTTGGATGTTTAGTTGGAAAGTATAATATTCCAAGTCTTGGTGAAGGAGCACCTCATTTTCAGCCACCAAAGTTCTTGGTTGATAGTTTGGTCAAAGCAATTGAAGAAGGCCACAACCAATATACTTCATCGTATGGGCATCCAGAAGCAAGGGAGCTGCTTGCTGAATTGTATTCTCCAAGTTTTGGAAAAGAGATTAACCCCGAGCGTGAAATTTTGATTTCAAATGGAGCTAATGGTTGAATGACTGCTGTTTTAGGATCCTTAATTCATTCAAAATCAGATGAGATTATCTTAATAGAACCATTTTTCCCACAATATTTCTCTCAATCACAGTTTGCTGGAGCTACAATCAAGACTGTTCCCTTGATTCCTAGTGATGACAATCAATGGCATCTTGATCTTGATGCTCTTAAGGAAACCCTGAACGAGAACACCAAATGTATCATCATGAATACACCTCATAATCCAACTGGGAAAGTATTCACAAAGGAAGAGTTACAAGAGATTTCAGATATCCTCGAGGAGTATCCACATGTTTATGTGATCAATGACGATGTATATTATTTTCTCACATTCGAAGGCCACGAGCACCATATCTTCGCCACCTTGGGGGATAACTGGAAGAAAACAATCACAATCTTCAGTGGTGGAAAGATACTGTGTTGCACAGGATGGAAAGTAGGATGGGCCATCGCCCCAGCAGATATTCTCAGGCAAGCTGTTGTCTTCAATGATTGTACAGTATATTGAAACAATGTTCCTGGCCAACTTGCAGTTGCAAGAAGCTTGAAAGTAGCAAAACAAGAAGAATATAAGGATGGTTTAACATTCATTGAATATGAAGGTGAAGATTTTAAAAGATCTTATGATATTATCTTCAAAGGACTTGAGGAAAGTTCATTACCAATCAAACCAATTAAAGCAAGCGGTGGATATTTTATTTGAGCAGATGTTTCAGAGCTCAGAGATATAGTACCTGAAAAGTACTTCAAACAGCAAGAATATGAGGATGATCCTGACACCACAATTGAAAAGAACGACTTCGGATTGCCTGTCCCCTTAGACCTTGCTGTCTGCAGATGGCTAGCAATGGAGAAAAAAGTGGTCACAATGCCAGGCACTTTCTTCTACATGAAGGGCAGCAAACACATGACCGATAAGTACATCAGACTGGCATTTTGCAGAGGGGAGGAGATCACAAAGGCAGCAATGGAAAATTTAAAATAATTGGAGAGATATCACTTAAACTTCTATTTTCTTCTGATAAATTGGGGTTTTGGGGTTTTGGGGTTTTGGGG